TGGGCATGGGTCGCATGTTACATATGAAATGATTGAGGCCGCACGCCAAGCAAATGTCATTCTTTTCTGTCTTCCGCCCCACACAACGCATAGACTCCAACCTTGTGATGTCGGGGCATTCAGTCCTTTGAAGCGTGCCTGGCAAGCACAATGTGATGCTTATCTTGAAGCACATGCAGTTCCTATAGAAGCTCGAGACGTGGTTGCAGAATATATGGCTGCTCGATCCACTTCATTCAAGGCAGAAACAATACAGCAGGCTTGGCATAAATCTGGTATTAGTGTTGATGAATCTGGTACATATCCCAGATGTAATCCAGCTATTTTCACGAAAGCAGACTTTTCTCCAAGTGTTCCAAGCTCTTCACAGCTCAATCTCCCTGATGGCTATCCTACCGCATATGGTCACAATTCCAGCTCATTTGAATTGGTATATTCTGAATCGGAATCCTCTGAATCGGAATCAGAATCATCTGGGAGCGAGACAGACCTTGTGCCAATGAATGGCCTTATTCAAATCACCATAGCAACTCCTCCGACGGATGAGCAGCTGGCTGATCCTGGACTCTTCCTTGTCTTTCCAAGCATCTCTACAATACCTGAAGATTCCCAATATTCTGACACAAGCTCTGATAGTGCTTGCGATGATAGTGCAGACAACAAAGAGGTTTGCGAACTCAAACGGCGAGTACGAAAGTATAAACAGCTTTACAGGATGCAAAAAGTGACTATAAAAAAGGCTACTGATGAAATTACCCAGGTAACGAGTCATGCAATACTTGCAAGCGAACATATAAAGACACTCCAAGGGCAAGTCAATATGAAAAAGAAAAGGAAGGATGGAAATGGACGAGTTGTTCACATTGGCTCACGCATTGTCACTTCTGAGGAAGGCTTGGAGGAGGCTCGCAAGCAAAAGGAAGCAAAGGAGGCCAGAGTTCAGTTAGCAGTGGAACGCAGCCAGCGTAAGGAGGATATACAGAGTGCTGTTCGAGTTGAACGATCTCAGGTTGGCTGTGGTAACATGGTCTTTGATGGCACACTTCGCACACAGAAGCTACAGGGTCTTCGGAACATCTGCTGGAATCTTGGACTTGATGAAAAAGGAACAATTCCCATCCTGACTGAACGCATCAGACAGCATTTTGATGCTAATCCTCTCCTCAAGAACGATCATCATTATGCTGCTCTCTTCAACAAGAGAGGCACCAGACAAGCAAATGTGGGAGAAAACAATGGTAACCTTGCAGATGATGAAGACGATGAAGAATTTGGGCCGATGCAGTCTCAGCAATATCATCTAGTGGATGCAACAAACTTGCCGACAAGAGTGCCAAATTATTCATATCCACATTTCAGTACCCAAAGACCGCTCTACCCCATGGCACCACAACCAGAGCATCAAATTCCATACCCACACACATATACCCTGCATTCATATACCCACACGGCATATCCACAGATTCATCAACGTGCATATACAGAACCTATAGTCAATCAAAATCAAATCTCAAATTCATCACGCGCCCGAACGGTATCAGAAAAAGGATGGACAGATCACTTTTATTCGTCTAGCAGAGCTTTTGTACATGAAGGAGGAGAATGTTAATCTATACAGTGACCTGACTAGTCCATGTGTGGAGGCGAAGACTCGTGATATTCGGTGTTGGGCCAAGAGACAAGACCATCACGGAGCATGCGAAATCGGTTAAGTTGTATGATCGAGAATTCTGAGGCGGGGCAAGTGCAATACACAGGTGAAAAAGTAGAACTTGCAGAAGTTTGAAGTGGACACGAGTGAAATCGGCGAAATGGTTTATAAGAGTTTTGACGGTTCTTGCTAGTTTGTCTTGTATGAGATTGTACAGAAGCAATGCTCATGGAAGCTGCTAAAATGTTTGAAGGTGTATCATAGAAGCTGAAAACCACGCACGAGTTTCCTTCAAAGTTCTTGAAGCAATTATTTCTTCCCTCGTCACGACTATAAGATCTTTGATTGCCTCCATTTGCTGATGCATATATTGAGATTGTATCTTGACATTGCCTTGTAGACTCTGTACCTCGCTGAGAAGTTGTAAAAGAAGTTGGTTTGTATCTGGAGACTTGGAGACTAGATTGCGAAAGTCCAGAGAATCGAGAGGGTGAGCTTCATTATTCAAGATAGCAGGCTGACTGGGAAGTGGCAACAGAGGTTCGTTATTCTCGTCTACTGACTCAGAGACATGTGTCGTGATGGAGGACACAGAGGCGGGGCGTGAGGGTGGATCGACCATCATGGACAGGTACAACTTTTTTGGTGTTCGGCGCATGAACGGCAACATTGCGGAGTACGAACATTTGACAGGGTCACGAACCTGTCACGTTTCATTTCACGCTCAAAATGCACCTCCCATTCGGATGTCTGTGGCCACTCTGCATGAGCGAGAAAAATTATGAAACTTGAGATATATACACTTTAGATACCAGAAATGTATGTATCAAAGTTTTCAAGGAATCCATGCAAGACTGATGGAAGCCGAAGCCATCCGAAATTTCATTTCATCTCTAGGTCATCGATAGTATGGGGTGTCCGGACAAATCTCGCGTCTATATCCAAACTCATGGTCATGATGCAGGAAATCGGAGTAACTTGGAGATTTACTGTCATTTTGATTTGTAACAAATGTAAAACTAAAAAGTAGGGCTTTTGAGATATCGCACATTATAATACAGTCAACTCTGCCCTAAACCATACCTGTGATAACCCATAATTGGCATAACCCATAGGATTTGGCCCCCCACCAAGCTTGTTTGCAGGTAAAATTATAATCCCTCCCATATCCCATAAGCCATAGCTTTTTGAGAGGTCTCATAACCCATAACAATACTAAAAAGCCTCGTAAAGTTGCTCTCCATGTGCAGAAGAAGGCACCTGCACCTGTATTTTTGAAAAAGGAGAATGCAACACTTAAGCAGAAGATCGAGATCCTGGACTGGCAAATGCCTCATTTCAGTTTCTTCTCTGCTGAACAACAATCTTGTTGAGCCAGCCATTGTTGCAGCTGAAAAGGAAGTTATGGATTCATTATCTGAACTTGAGAAAATTGGTGTCCTCCAGCCAGCAAATCGGATGGCTCTTCAGGAATTACTCAACCCAATCAATGAGAATGTCATGCACAATGGTGGCAGTGATGTGGAAATTTTCCAGGCAGTCATGCAACATGTCAAGAGTGAACAGATGATGGAAATGGATGGCGGTGATGTCGAGGATATTTCAAACTTATCTACTGATGCAGAGTCAAAGCCAGCCCGCCGTGAAGCTATCAAAGCTGCCTCAACACTTCAAGCTTATGTTGCAGACATAAATAAACCCTTTGCACGCAAGCTGGAGGCTATTCTTATCAAGTTTGGCTGCCAGACACGCCTTGATGAGTTCAAATCCTGCCGTCCAACTGCTATTACAGATTATCTTCCTCGAATCAATGCTACTGAGTAAAATAAAGTAGTCACACATATAATACAGCTAAATGAACATCTTAGAAGTCAATTACATGACCATACAATGACCTCTTTCATACCCCATACTCTATAATAACCCATAGTTTGGAGCTTCCACCAACCCCTATGGGTTAAGACAGAGTCGACTGTACATTCGTTCGAACCATCGGGCATGATAAAGCTCAGGCTGAGATTGTTCGATGCGTCTGTTTGCGCGATCTCGTGACCAGAGGTTGTGTCTCCCCACCACCAGTGGTTCTCTCGTTGAACTTTAGAGCAATGAACAAGTTTCGCAAACCGATCAGCCCATCTCGCCCATCTCGCACGATGCAACTTGCAAAAGACCTGTCTCTATCTCTTAAAGCAACGTCATCTCGAGCCTACGATGGTCCAGTACCACAACCCACTTTGCGCCGGACTCGACCTGTAACTATCAATGAGGCGGACGCCATAGCTTCCAAGTCGAGGGACATACAATACTGGACAATGCGCGCGCATTCTGCTGAGGCACAACTACAATTTGCTCAAGGTCAATATGCACAGCACCACAGTTCCGTAAGTCCTCAAGCCCGTGCAAATCTCACTGATTTAAGCTCTTTTTCAAAGTCTACCCAAGATGTTGCTAGAAGGCAAGACAATGAGAGGATAGCTCGACTTGAATGGCTTGTGGTATGTAGTTCCAATTATATATATTACGATGTCATCTCACGGAAGAAAGTGCTATAGATCATTCTTCTAGTTCTCATTTCCATATTCATTCTGGTTTTTGTATATATCTCTGCGTCATATGCCACTCCTCAAAAAGCACCTGCGCACTTCACCATACCTATCTTGTCGCCATTCACGTCGGTGGTAAGCATTCGGACGTGATTTCGTGAAAAAGACACTGACTTGACGCAAAGGTTGAGCACGAGACGTCGGTAATAGGCTCAAAGACCATAACGCTCATACTACTCATAATAGGGACATTGTCATACCTAGCCTTCCGTCTTCGTTTCAAAAGATGACCGCGGGGCGAGTGATATCTCGATTTCCGCCACGCCCATTCACTGAAGTTTTTCTATCAGAACGAACTTGAACACGGATACACACATTTACACCCACACTACATAAGTTATACTCTCTCGATGCGACATCAGTCAACTGGTTTGCTCTCGCAGATCCAAGATCACCACGCCTGTTTCTCAAGACCCAATGGACAACTGTGAAGCCTACTCATAAGCCGGCTCCTGGGGAGCCTCTCCAAGCTGCTCTCGAGCGACAAGAATCTTACCGCCCTCCCATCTCCCTTTTTACGTCGATCAAAAGTCACTGGTAACCCGATCTTTGGCGGATATTGCGTGGCCCTTTGTTCCTTTTGTTGCCGTCCTCGAGTATTGATGGATAGAAGTTATCACTGTGAGGGTGCGGGTGTCCGCAACGAAGACGGACGAGAGAGCTCCACATCAGAATTCAAGGGAGGGGAAGTGACGCGAAGTCGGGTTCAATCTAACAGGTTCTGGCATGTTGATAGTATCATCAACTCCCTCTTAGCTCAGTGGTAGAGCGCGTCACTAGTATCCTTCCAAATGAATATGACGAGGTCAGTCGTTCAAGTCGGCTAGAGGGAATGACGAGATTTGTATTCATTTTTGAATGAATGAATGAATGGAACAAAATGAAACCCAATTTTTACAATCAGCCACTCCAAACACAGTTAGTTGTACAAGTTCTCCATCCCAATTTCCGACGATTGCACCCGCCAAGAAAATCAGCACGCGCCGTGGGCATGTGGATAGCGTGATGGTCAGGTTTGCCAAGTCCCTCTTAGCTCAGTGGTAGAGCGCGTCACTTGTACCTGACCTTTCGGTCACAAACTCAAATGACGAGGTCAGTCGTTCAATCCGGCTAGCGGGAATGAAAGCGCCATTGGAAAATTTCCTTTTTTTCCGCTTTCCTGACGACCTCTTCTCTTCCTCCACCCGCAACACCAGGTGCCGCAAATCTCTTTACCGTTGCCGAGCAGAATCTCCGCTCTGGGGAGCAGGTCTTGCTCGAACACAACACAACACAACACCAGCGCTGATGCCGGTGTCCTCTTCCAAGACACGCACGCCGACAAGCCCCACTGCGCGCAAACCCCGGGTCGACTCGGCGCCCTTCGCCTCGCTATGTTCCCCTGTACATTGCTTATCCACATCCACACCATCCACCCACCAGACTCACTAAGCAAATAACGTTTTCTGCTCCTCCTCCAGCTCGCGGTATCACTGTCGGGCTCTGTCGGGCACAAACGAAATGTCAGCACTGCCATGTAGCAACGCAGCTCGCAAGTCTTTCAACTTCCCTCTTAGCTCAGTGGTAGAGCGCGTCACTTGTACCTGGCTTCTCGGCCTCGGATCAAATGACGAGGTCAGTCGTTCAATCCGGCTAGCGGGAATATGACGCAATGAATCGACAGAAACTTTTTCTTTCTTTCTCCCTCTTCCTTTTCCTCCAAGAATGCTGATTAAAACAGAGCCGCTGTTCGAATATCGACTACCCCTGGAGAGCAGAATTCCCGCTCCGGCTCAAACAACATCCAGATGCTCCGCACACAGTACTCAGTTGCCAAGGTGTGCTTGCACCCCACACAACACCAACACCAACGCCGAAACCGACGCGCCTCTTCCAAGGCACGGCACGACAACCCACTGGGCGCAAACCCCCGGGGTCCCCTCGACACCCTTTGCCTCGCTAGGATCCCCGGCAGACATTACTTATCCACTCCTCCACACTACCCATCAATTAACTAACTACCTACCCACCGCCTTCCGCTCCTCTCCTCTCGCCGTCCACTCACCGAGAACCCAGTCTCGTCAGTGTCTCGTCGTAGCACACACCGCAACCTCAACCTCACGCGCACGGGTCACCGACTCAATCAGGACCTACCTGAAACAACTTCAACTTCCCTCTTAGCTCAGTGGTAGAGCGCGTCACTAGTATTCCAGTGGCTATGTAGTCCGTTCAATATGACGAGGTCAGTCGTTCAAGTCGGCTAGAGGGAATCTCCAACTGAAAAAACTCTTTTTGGTTTCACCTCTGCTGCTAGGAGCGACGAGAGCGGGCTGCAGAGGCAACAGATGGCGCCGACCCGGCGAATAAGATAGCGAAATCCGGCTCGCTACGCGCGCGTAGCGAGCCACGTGTAATTGGACTCCGCGGCTGAACGCGATGGGTAAAAGTACAATACAAAGTAATGTAGGCTGCTATAATATGAAATATAGTATCATGGGAGAGGTGGGTGGGCGATCGAAAAGATAAACGACGAGAGAGACTATAGATACCAAAGGAAAGCGGGGTGAGCGAAGCCCAGTCGCAACAACGACTATCTGGGCTTACATTAATTAATCGGACTCCAGCGACGGAA